TTGTTGGGAGTCGGAGTACACGGGACCAGGACCTCACGCGTGAGAGCCCAAGTACAAGCCAGCTCATATGCGCAGGGGTACACGGATCGGTCCTTGCATATCGCACCACTTCGGCTGGTCCGCCTGCTGCTGGTACCGCAGTCCAGCTCTCGACAGACCCATTACGGGGTGGTCTGCAATCCAGCTCTACCTCAGCGGCACATGGAGAGGAAGATCTCGTCACCAACACCAACGCCGAAACCGAGGCCGTCACCGACGCCGACACCGGGACGGGAGACGTTGCCGACCCCACCGCCGATGCTCCTGCTGTGCGACGCGGCGGTTTGAGGGGCTGGAGAGCCGTCAAGGTCGTCGTAGCTGGTCCGAAGGGGTGGAGCGAGGGGAGAAGACCGCACAATGTGAGGACGGAAGCGGCGATACTTGTGCGGATGGACCATCCTAATGTGAGTGCGCAATCGCAGGGGAAGAGAGTACGAACGAGCAATGGAACGTCATGCTCTGAGATGGGAACGCCGCACTGCTTGAGATCGAGGAGACCGAGGAGGTTCACAGGTTGTTGTTGTTGTGTCTGGTTGGAGTCGCTTGGCGTGCGCTGGCTGATCCGGCAGGTCGTCAAGGTACTGCAATACGACTACATCGCTGGAACATGGGAACACCGGCTCGAGATGCCCTTACTAGCACTCCCATTATCCTTTCTCCTCCAGAAACCTGCGCCGCGCTCCAGCGCATCCGTATCGCGGACATCGAATAATCCCCCCGACCCTTCCCGCCCTTCCCACCCCTCTCATCCGTCCCAGCGCATCTCCGACACCGACACCGACGAATCCCTCGGTCCGCCGACCCGCCCCGCCCACCTGGCCCACCTGGTCGCCGCCGACCTGCTCTCGGGACTGGCATACCTCCATCAACAAGGAGTCGCGCACAGGGACGTGAAGCCTGATAATCTCGTGGTTGGGTGGGATGGCGTACTTCGGCTCGTTGATTTTGGGACGGCTTGGCAGCGCGAGCAGAGCGGGCGGTGTAGCGAGAGGAGTGAGGGGAGGAGTGAGGAGAGGGGCGAGGGCCATAGACTGTGGGAGAGAACGGGGGAGAGGGAGGGGATGGAGGGGAGAGAGGTGATGGAATGGGAGAATATGGAGACGGAGGACAGTATGATCTGTGAGATTGGTACAGGGTGAGTGAGGTCTCTTCCCGTGTATCCCAGCACGAGGATTACGTCGCGACAAGGTGTGACTCGGCGTGACTCGGCGCGACTCGGCGTGACTCGACTATTATCTCCCTAATGAGCGGTATCGCGGCGACCTGACAGAGAGGAGAGACCGAGATTGAGATGGGAACGGACGGGATCCGCGTCGCTATCACACCGTCAACTCGAGATCCCTCGAGATCACTCGAGACGTCACCCCGCTGAACTCCCTCATAGACCGTATCGTGCGCCCGAACTGCTCTTCTCGCCGAGGACGTACGACCCCTTCGCCCTTGACCTCTGGAGCGCGGGCTGCGTCCTTGCCGAGCTGTTCATCCGGCCCACCAGGGCGTCCACTCGCGCGACTCGGGATATCGATACGGTATCGGACCTCGATTCGTCAGACGAGGAGTCGCCGCGAGTCTCTTCACCAAGCATCCCGACGCGGATGGGACGCTCGGGCGGCTTTGGGCCTCACTCCCCGGACAAAGATGTGTATGACGATGATGAGGAGGGTGATCATGATGATGGGCTCGAGGATACTCCTCCAGAGTCGCGAACCACCCTCTTCGACGCGAGCTTCGGCGACCTCGGTCTCGCGGCGAGTATATTTCGTATCCGCGGGAGTCCGACGTCTCAGCGGTGGAAAGTGGGTGACTCATAACCTATCAACCAGATGATCTCATCTCCTATCCTCTCTCCTCTTTCATGCCGCTTCGTGATCCCACCGCCGCTTGAATCAAATGCTGATCGCTGATCGGTGTAGAACTTCGCACTCCTTCCCGACGCGGATAAGATCCACTTCGACCACTTCGAGCCTCAATCCCTACGTGACCTTCTCCCCGAAATTGACGCCCTGGGAAGTCAAACTGCACCGGCGCTGGAGGTGCTGGAAGGGTTGTTGCAGCTCGATCCGGGCTTGCGCATCACGGCGCAGGCTGCGCTCGAGTCGAGTTGGCTGAAAGACAGGGAGACGCCTGGTGATGATCAGGGTGGGAGTGGGCGTGTGGGTGCGGGCTTGGGAGTGGATTCCGAGCGGGAGAGGACGACGGACATAAGGGTGGAGACGAGGGTGCGACTTCTCGAGCCGTGGTTGGGACCCGCCCGGCGGAAGTGGGACGAGATGGAGTGATTCCCTCGTAGCTGGCGCTGAGGCGTGATATACCCTGCATGCAATATTGCCCGGCGCACAATGCGATGGATCGACAATGCTAGGTGATGCAGCGACTTGACTTGACTCTGACCGCAGCGACTTGACCTGACTCCGACCTGTCTTCTCGCCTCTCTCTGAACCACTCCGCTGCCTGCCCCTTCTCATTCGTCACCCCTCCGCCCGTGGCCCCTCAACGTCCGGCGGGGTGATCACCACGCCCTGATCGAGTACAGCTTTGACAGCATCGACTTCTGGGCCGGAGTTGGTCCTGCATCGGGCGTGGCGTCAGCGCGGTGTCCCTGCAGTTTGAACGTCCCTCCAGGCCCACTGGTACGCGGCGGCTCATCAAGCTTCTCTTCGCACCACCGCATCACCGCACCGCACTCACTTGACCACCTCGTCCAGATACGTCCTTAACACGTCCCCCGCCTTCCTCTCCATCTTGTCCACTCCCGCGAGCTTATCCGCCCGACTCGGTCCGAGGGAAATCATCAGCACCTTCTTCCCCGACTCTGCTGCTTGCTTGACGAGTCGGAAGGCCGAGTACGTCGCGAGGGACGTGCCGAGGACGAGAAGCTGGGAGGCGGAGGACACGAGGGACAGCGACGTGTCGCGGACGTGTGGGGTGAGGGTTTCTCCCTGCATCAGGCGTCAGCGCAGGGCCACTGTGTGGTATCGACGTGGTTTCGTCGTCTCGTGGTCTCGTGGTATCGTCGTCTCGTGGTGTGGAGCTGGAACGCACGAAGAAGACTACGTTCGGCTTGACGATGCTGCTTTTGATTCCTTCCTCGGCACATATCCTGCAGGTGGGGACCACAAACGACGTGAAGTCGGCGCCTGGGAGGTCCACCTACACGCCGCTTTCAGCATCGTCGCTGCGGCCAGACGAGTGCGACCGGATCGACCACTCACGTCTCCGTCAGGATTTGTCCGCGGTCGTCTATCACAATCACAGTCAGCTGAGAATCCATCCGCCGTGCATTCCAACCGCCGTTCGCTGCAATCGCACCGCACCACGATACCAAGCCCGCAATCCGAAACCCGTCACTCGCAACCGTGACTTGCCGACGCATCCCGTGCTCGCCCGCCGCAACCGAGAGAGTGGAAAACGGCCAGATCGCTCCGGGCCCCGACACCCCGAACGGCGACACCGCACCCACCTGCCCGTCCGTTCCGACTCTTTCGCCTCCCCATCCCAAATCGGATTCAGCCCCGCCAACTCGGCCTGGAAATCGTCCCTGCTCTGCGCGTGATGGTGTTTCAGACAATGCACTTTGGCGAGTGTCCCGTGGAGCTCTAGTATTGACGGAGGGGGCGGTGGGCGGGCCTGCGGAGGGAGGGAGGAGAGGATGAGGGATGCAGCTTTGGGGTGGAGGTTGTCTACCTGTGCGAGAGGTCAGCGGTCCGTGTCGAGTGTCTCCGACCTGTTGTACCGGCTCCGGGCGAGTTCGCTACAATGGAGCTGCGGGAGGTGGGAGAGGGGGCAAAGGACGCGGGGCGGGGGAGGTATGAATGGGGTCAGGCGATGGCACTCGTTAAGGCGCTCGTTGCGTCCACTCACATTCTGGGTAATCAGATTCGGTGCCAAGCCCAGCGCTTGCAACGCCGCGACGTAGATGTGAGTCGGATTAGGCGTCGCGTCTCGAACGGGAGGGTACTGAGTTGTCGAGCATGTCAGTCCGGTCCATTGAAGATAGAAAGGAAGGTGCCGATGATTTGGAGCGGAAGCGTGATGCATTGATTCCCGAGTGAGGGGATAGGTGCTCACGCCTAGGAATGATCGAGCCCAATCTGACGAGAATCGGAGTGTCAGCTGGATATTCTTCGCCTCCTCGGACCGGGTCTATGCCCCCACCCCCATCATCCTTGCTCACATCGTTTCCTGAAAAGCTCGCCCCGCGGCGTATCTTCAACCAGCTCGTGATACAGAATCGGTCTACACATTGAGGTCAGCGATTCGGGTCAGCGATTCGGGTCAGCGATTCGGCTCGAGGGCCTCGCTGATCGAGTTCGCCCACGCCATCGCCCAGTGCATAGTAGCCGCCCATGCCCACGACCCGTGTCACTCACTTGTAATTCGGATTAGCATAATGCCCGTCTTTCCCCCGATACGCCCTTATCCCACTATCCACACTGACCCCCGCACCGGTGATGACCAGTGTCCTCCCCCTTCCTCGCTCGAGGAACTCGGCCAGGTGCGCGGCGGCGAGGGTCGGCGAGAGGCGTGTGAGCTCGTTGGGCGGGAGGATCGGGCCGGGGGGAAGAGTGGGGATGGATATGCGGACCATGATGTCACTGTTTGTGCTGACGAGGCGGGACGAGACTAGATGAGGGAAAGAGGATGAAAGATGATGAAAGTGAGAATTGAGAGAATCATCGATAATTATCAGAATCAGTCTCGATCGGGGATGTCGCTACTTCGTTGGCGGTGCCTGGACAGATGCGTCACCACTCTAGAGTCTCAGACCAAACATCAGAACGTGTTGACAGGCTGGAGACGATGCGACTCTCCTGTGTTGCAGCTCTCGGAGGATGGCTGATCCAAATGCATTTACAACCGAACCCGCGACGCGATTAGAGAGATAAAGTGAACTGAACAAAACCGAGAATTGATACTGTACAAGCCTGCACCCCGAGACCTGGCCATGAATCCGCAGCTCACAGCTCTATGCCCACCAACACCCATTGCGTCTGATCCCAATCCCAACCACCCTCTAGCCCTCCAGGCCTGACCACCTGCCCACCCATGTACATCAGAGAGTGCAGCAGCTCGCCCAACCGGTCCGGATCCCGCTCGTCCTTGTCCAGAACCAACACCAGACTCGTCGCCTCGAGGTTGTCCGACGCGAGGTCCAGCAACGCCGTGAGCGAGTCGCGCATGTCGAGGGCTTGGCCGGGCGCAGACGGGGGTTGCGGGGACGGAACGGTTCGTTTCGGATCATGAGGGCGGAGCACGTCGGAGAAGTTTGCAGAGAGCGTCTCGGGGCGGACCTGAGCCGAGGCATGTGGAGGTGGGAGGTGGACATAGACTGTCCGACCTGAGCCAGGGTGGTCGACGACGAAGCCCTGCAGGACGTGATCTGGAGGAGTGACAATCTCGAGAATCCGCGCCATCGAGGCGACCTGCGTGGCGTGGTATGGGAACACCGACGAGATGAGGGGTATGATCGGCGCGTTCGCCTCGGGTATGTTAGGCGTTTCGGGGAACGAACGGGGATAAGCGGCGTGCGACTTGCCGAGGTTGAGGGAGCCATCGTTGGAGGACACCGGAGTGAGAGGTAGCGAGGCGGACATGGTTGTCATGGATGGACGGGCGAATTGGATCGCCGGAGTGGAGGAGAGCGAAGGGGGCGTCATTGGATTGACGATCTGCGTGTGGGAAGGATGGGCATGACCGGAGTGAGGATCAAGGGGGTGGGAGAGAGTGGATGAGGAGGGGGAGGATGACGGTATTTGAGAGATTGAAGACAGGTAGGACGTCAAGGACTCTCTCACTTTCCTTGGCGACCCCCCGACAATGTCCTGGACCCGCGGATCAGCAACAGCAACAGCAACAAACCCGAACCGAGAGCGAGGGGAGACGAATCCGAACTCCGAACTCGATTTTCCACTCACGGGAGGCGACCTCCTCCTGCCTTCCTCAAAACCACCGCCTGCCCCCTCCGGCGAACGTCGAGGACGACTCGTAGCTTCCGGGCAGTCCGGAATCCTCAGTCGCGTAGACATACAGCGGACCGCCGACGCCTCCGTATCGCGCGATCGCGAGCGGCGGGGACAGGGGGTTCTCCACGTCGTGGTGCATGTGGGCGAAGAAGAGTGGGTGGGATGCCCCTGAGCCGACGCTTCCCGGGGCGCCGCTGATGTGACAAGTGGCCGGAGAGCGAGCGTCACACGTCGGATGGGTTGCACAGGGAGGTACGGTTGCGATGACATTGGGGAGAGAAGCAGACGTCAGCGTGGTGTGCAAACAACGATGCACGGATAACGATCGGTTCCGCTTGCGGACTCACGCGGGCGAGAGATTCCGGTTGGTAATGCTAATCTGCCTCGAGGAACTCATGGTGGTTTGGTGGCTTGGTGTTTCGCAGCAGAGCTGAACAGGTGGTCCGGGGGTCGGCTGGGGGCGGGTCAGCCAAACGCAGGTGAGTGGGCGGCGTGGCGGCGGAGGCGTCGGCTGAAGTGGCAAGACGAGACGGTATGGGGCTCACTGGCTGTCGGTGGTAGACGAGAGCTTTACTTGGATCGAGCTGTAGAAGCTGGTGCAATGGTGAGGGAGGCAAGGAAGTGACAGAGGGATTGAGAGATAGAGGGAGATAGATGTCTGTAATCATCGCCGCCAGCCCGTTTTATTCGCCCCCCCCCCTATTTTGCTTCCGCCCGCTTGGGAGTGGCGACTGGTTTCTGTGTGGCCCGAGTAACATTGTTGGCAGGGGACGACGCATGGGGCAAACGCTACTGTATGCATGCCGAGCACAATCGAGTCATGAGTCTTCACCGTCCGGAACTTCGTCACCACCACAAGTGGCGTCGATGCCCGCTGCTCGCCAGATGCGGATCAGACTGATATGTACTCGTCAGTCATCGTCAATCTCCGCGCGGTCGTAGACTCACCTCGAGTCATCGTCCATCCCCCACCCGTATGATCTGCCGAGGATAAACTGCTGTTGCACGTGACCAGCAAGGGGGACAGAGACGCCCAATGCCGCGGCCTCGGCCACGACGATACCCATGTCTTTCACAAAGATGTTGACAGTCGAAGTAGGAGGCTGGATGAGACCGTCAAGCATGTTACCACCCCGGTGCCCAAGCATCCAGGACCAAGCCGGACCTCGCATGAGCAAGGCGTGAGATTTCCGGCCTGGGAGACCAAGTTTGGAGGAAAATGCAAGAGCCTCCATGACGCTGGAGATATGGCAGCCTGTGAGGTTCCGTCAGTCTCCCACAATTGAAACACCACACCCTCGAGACACTTACCGGCGAGATGCTGGTTGACGAGTTTCACAGCCGAGCCTTTCCCGATCCCTCCCGGGACGATGAGAAGGTTCTCGTTGTTCCCGGCCGAGCCGCTCAAGAGCTTCAGAACATGGTATGCCTTTCCCGACCCCGGACCCGCCTGGTCCAGACCCCCAGCCAAGATCATGAGATCTCCGGAGGCCGCTCTGGGTGTGCCCCCCGACACGGGACAGTCGACGAGCGACACGTCCGGGCGGATCTTCGCCGCTCGCTCCCCGATCGTCTGTGCCTGCGAAGGCGAGATGGTGCTCATGATGAGAACCACGGAATGGCGGGGAAGCTCTGCAGAATATGAGTTCGTTTCAGCCTCGGGAAATGCGACCTGCGTTTCAGACTCCCGAGGTCAAAGAGGATCTCCTCAACCTGCGACGCATTGATGACCATGAGAAGGAGCACTTCGGATTCCGTGGCACAGTCCAGTAGATTCGCAGCTGCGAGACCACCTTCGGATGCGAAACGCTCCAGGGCAGGTCTCCAGACGTCGAAGCCGGCAACCGACAGGCCACCCCGGTGAAGCACTGTCCATCAGTCCTGAGGAACGTCCCACACGCGGGGGTGCTCACCTTTCGACATCCTGCTCCCCATGGCCCCGAGTCCCACAAAGCCAACTTTGGCAGGTGCGACCGGCTCGGTTGACTGGGTTTGCGAGAGCGACCCGGTGTTGATGCTTGGAGACGAAAACTTTTCGCCCACCACGATGCTGGAGAGGTCGGTTCGCGAGTCACTAGGGAGCGCAGCGTATACCTGGGCCGCCATGGCGGTCAGAGGAGCGTAGAAGGACTCGCTGAGTGCCAGCGACAACGCGCGGGACTTGAGAGGCTCAGTGATATCCTCCCTAATCGCTCACCAGTGCAAGCTTGGCCTCGGCAAGGCTTTGTTGAGATGCGGAACACTGCAAGGCTCCTTCCAACAGCTGCGGCACCAGTTCACGGAACGACCTGTGTGGGCGGTAAGCGCTCTTCTACCCGAAGTCAGCAAACGCACCAGGATGCGCCAGCCCCACCGGCGAGCGCCTTGTACAGCAGGTGTGGCTCTACGCCAGTCTTCATTCCGAGTGAGAACGCCTCCCTGGACTGGTTCAGCGGCGCGTCCACCGTGTACGAGTACCTAGACCCACCCGGCAAGCGCAGTCTGCGTGGCGCACAAAGCACTCTCGACTGTCGCGAATGCGGCTGCGAGGTGCAGCTCTGAGCCCAGAAACTCGATGTCTTTCCGACTGCCGAGGAGCTCTTTTGCCTTGGTGCTGAACTCGCCAGAAGACACGGCACGCGACTGGCCCGATATGACCGATTTCAGTTTCACGATGAGACCGAACTTGGTGTTGGGGTGCGACGACTTGATCGATGCTACCGATTCCACACTTGGCGAACCGACCAAGACGACGACGTCGGCGGTGAGGTCTGCGATCTGTAGTGGCTCAGAATCACGCGGCTGCCAGGGAACTTGGCGTTTGCAGACCCACCGGCTCGTCTGCATTGAGCACAACCACTGATTGCGATAGATCACGAAGGTCGAGCGACTGCAAGCCACTTTCAGCTATGCTCTGCGTAATGGACGGTCGCTCTCACTTCTAGAACTTCGAAGCGTTCAAAGGTCATTGTACCGGGATGTACGAGTACAATAGGAAGGGTGGGGTCAGGTAGGTGTCTTAAAGCTCGTCGCGCTGTATCATACCTTCATGAAAGCGCGGGCATATGCATGCTTCTGTGATCGCGCGGCGCACCTGCCTGACCGCACTCTCGCACTTATCCGGACAAATGAGACGTGCGCTAATTCCAACGTCCGCCCCGGCATCTACCGGCTCGCACTGGTGTTTGTGAACCGAGGGGTGGTCTCACGACATCTACAATTCCGGCGGACCAAGGTTGCCGAACGGGCTCCAAAGATAGAAACCCCAGTTGCTCCAGTGCCGTACTCACGGAAGGACAATGCGAGCAGGGCGAGCGCATGAGTACACGGCACAAGTGCGAAATTCACTTTCCCGGACCGATGCCACGGCCCCAGCGAAGCTCCGCAGGCGGCCCACATGATGCACATCACTCGCACAAAGCGAAACTCCGTACTGTACTTGTACAGTGTTTCAATTCCGTTCCCCGGAGCGATGTGATACTAGCGCGTATCATGGGCGCAGTGCAGTCACCAAACACAAGTGCGAAGCGGCATTCCCCGGACTGACACACTGCATCCAAGTCCCCGGTATTGCTACCCCATCTTCGTGTGCGATGCGGTACAAATAGTGGCGCCGTTCCGGACACACTTTGTCGCATTCCCCCAAAGCTTGTCACTTCCTACGCGATGTCCGAACCAGCCATTGTAAACGACATGGAGAAACCAGGCGACGCCCAATACGAAGTCGCTCATGGGGTCGATAGTCTGTCCACGATTGACCCGGCAGCGGAACGCAGGTTGTTGCGCAAGATCGATCTTCACATGGTGGTACGTACCGAGTATTTCGTACTCTGAGCACTGCATCATCGTACGTGGCGCTGACCCGAGAAGCCCATCGTGTGGCTCATGTTCCTATTCTCAAACCTCGACCGTACGTTCTATGAATGATAGTGTCAAATCAAGGGGACCTAACGTTCTCAGGCAGCAACATCGGCAATGCATACTCGGGTGGAATGCAGAAAGACCTGAACATGACCTCGAACCAATACTCTGTGGCGTTGTTGGTCTTCTTCATCGGTACGTTGCAGACTCCGAGACGTTCCATGTATGTATGTGTTACTGAAGTTTGCTCCCAAAGGCTACTGCTTGGCCGAGGTGCCCAGCAACATGCTGCTCTCTCGGCTTCGTCCCTCGGTATACCTTCCAGCTATCATGTTTGTTTGGGGTGCAGTCGCTGTCGGTCTCGCCGGGTGCAGATCCTACGAGGCCCTTGCCGGGGTACGTGCGGTCCTGGGTATAGCCGAGAGCGGCTTCTCGCCCGGTGTCATCTTCCTCCTCTCGTCTTGTAAGTTTTGGTTGGAAGCAAGAGAGCTGGCACATACCGATGGTCGCTCAGGGTACCGCAAGAACGAGCTCGCACGCCGCTTCTGTTTCTACTGGACCGGATCTCCAGCATCTGGCGCTGTCGGCGGGCTGCTGGCCGGTGCAGTCATCAAGCGTCTTGACGGCAGCGCTGGCCTAGAGGGTTGGCGATGGCTTTTCATCGTACGTATGGGGTCAAAGATGAACACCGATCATGTCTTCTGATGCATTGCAGATCGAAGGCATCGCTACCTGCCTTGCGGGAGTGGCAGCATTCTTCGTCCTCCCAGACTTCCCCATGAACACGAAGTGGCTGTCGGACGAGGAGAAGACGCTGAGTCTGCAACGCCTCCAAGCCGATAATCTCGGCAGCGGAGGAGGGCACATGCCGGAAGACGTCGGTCATCTGCGCAGCTTGAAAGCAGCTTTCGCAGACTGGCGCACCTATGTGAGTACCGTAACCGTCAGGCTCACAGACGGTGCCGTGTTGACATCTGACTGCAGATTTTCATCTTCCTCTACACGATGTGCACCGGAGCATTGACCATCACTTATTTCATACCCACGTTGGTCGCGTCGCTAGGCTACACCGGGAGTGCGATCCAGTATATGACAGTCCCGATCTGTAAGCGGCAGAACGACTGAGCGAGCCGCGCGCCGCTGACACTTATCAGACGGGGTGTGCATCGTCCTCATATTGGTCGTTTGTTTCCACTCGGATCTCCGTCAAGAGCGGGCGTTCCACCTGGCCGCATGCGGGCTGGTCGCCGCAGTCTGCTTCGCGGCTATCATGGGCACGACGAAGCATGTGCCGCAATACGTCTTGCTCTGTTTCGCCGCCGCGGGTATATGGTGCTCGATACCGCTCATCCTC